TGACGATTTACGTCTAAAAATAATAAAAAATAATAAATAAATTAAAAAATTGAAGTTTTAAAAAGTAAAAAATATATGTTTTATTACTATTATTCAATAAATAATTATCGGTTTGAAGCCAAAATTTGTCATCTAAGTCTGCATGAAATATCTGATCATGCAGAGTTAGGTTTATTATTAGTTAGTTGTGGGGATTCTTCTCAGCTTCCAACCTCTTGAGATTTTCGTATCCATATTTTAATGAGTACTATTTCCTATGACATTGAGAGGGAGAAGCAGTGAACCCTCTATTAAGAAACAATTGGTTGAATATGGTTCTCCATATCCTTTCATGGCTATTGTTAGGAACGAACTCAAAATCGTCATGATTCTCACGTCGAAGTCGAATTAATTCTTTTGCAGCTTCAATGGTTCATTCGAATGAAGCAACAACAGGAGTAACCAAAGCCACAATGATAGAAATAAAAAAAAGGAGGAAGACAAAATAGGTGGGATCGAGAAATAAAAAAAATAAAAAAATGAAATAAACGGGAATCGAGAAATAAAAAGAGAGAAGGAGAAAATGAAATAAACGGAATCGAGAAATAGAGAAGGAAAAGGAAAAAAATGAAATAAACGAAATGAGAAATAAAAAATAAAAATAAAAAAAATGAAATAAACAGGATTGAGAAATAAAAAGAGAGGAGAAGAAAACAAAATAAACGGGATCAAGAAATAGAGAAGGAAAAAGAAAAAATGAAATAAACGGGATTGAGAAATAGAGAAGGATAAAGAAAAAAACAAAATAAACGAGATCGAGAAATAAAAAAAAAGAAAAGAAAAAAATGAAATTAACAGGATTGAGAAATAAAAAAAAAAAAAAGAACGAAATAAACGAGATTAAGAAATAAAAAAAAAGAAAAGAACGAAATAAACGAGATCAAGAAATAAAAAAAAAGAGGAAAACGGAATAGACAGGATCGAGAAATAAAAAAAAATAAAAAAACGAAATAAATGGCGATTGAGAAATTGACGTGAAATAAAAAGTCCGAAAAAAAAAAGAAAA